ACACACACACACACACACACACACACACACACACACACACACACACACACACACACACACACACACACACACACACACACACACACACACACACACACACACACATATATATATACATACACCCCCACACACACACATACACACGAATACACGTACGTTGGCACGCACGCACATCCATAAAGTAATATGGGTTGAGTTGACTAAACATAACAGTTATGGCAAACGATCCGGAATTACTTGCAACAGAATTATAAAATGCCAGCAATAAATTTACACAAATAAGTGCATCTGAGGCCATTTGCTTCCGAAATTTCCCAATCGTCAAATAATCTCGCTTTAGCAAAAAAGGCAGCGTTCAATAAACAAATTCGGACAACACGTACTCTGCGGATGTTCTGGCTCATTATCAGTCTTGCCTCCCCCTCCCCAACCCACTCATACACACAGAGATGCTAGGGGCGGCAAGCAAGCATATGGCTTCGCCTACAGCATGCGCACTGGGAGATTACTGTGTGAAACAAGAATTCTCTTTATCCCTCCGCCGGGCGCTTTCGATATTGCTCGGGATTATTTAAAATAGCGCGCATCTGCAGATACCACGTGCATCATGCATGCATGTATACGCATACTGCGCCAGTGTGCATATAGATGGGAGGTGCATGGGAATTGTGAATTGCAATCGTGTTGCATGGCCCTGCTGTATACAACAGCTGCGACGGCGCCAGCACACGAGGAGGTTACACGTACGCGAAAGAAAGCGGCCTGCCGGAGAATGCAAGCGGAAATAGCGTGCTGCTATCTCTATCTCGCCAGCATGCAGCCTAAGCGAACGAAATCATTGAACCTAGCGGGAGCATCTTCGATTTGATTGGCACATACAAAGAGACACTTTACATGCGCATATATCACGTGCTTGTATATCTTGAATGCCAAATGAAATAAATCTGGCGAGCGTACATCGATGCAAAGATCTCCTGCTGTATGGACGTCCTATATGCTAAGGCGTATATACCTGTATGCAATCGTACTCCTAAAACACCCCTCATGAAATTATTCTCCTGGCTTCGAAGAATCAATAAACAATTACCAAACGCGGCGCCGTAGCGTTACATCTATCAGCTTTAACGTAACAGATGGGCGTGATTATCGAGTTATAAACTAACATAATGGGTGGATGCATGCTTGTTTAATTCTGCTACATATAAACACGTCTAATGGTATTAACAGTACGTATATACATATATCAAGAGCATATGAAGAAGGCCCTTCTTTATATGCTCTTGATATATATATATATATATAAGATAAATTTAAAAATAGAAATATAGGTGTCCAAATTTTACCACGCGAGCTTTCGTGAACATATGTCTCTTCGTCAGGCGACAACAAACGACAACATAACATATATATAATATGTATAATATATAGTATATATATATATATATATATATATATATATATATTTCCTGACGGTCCATCTTCATATACGATCTGCTAAGATATAATGAACAACGAATTCGTTACATATAGTCGCAACGATTAGGAAATAATTTATTCACATTCATGTTTGGGGGAGAGAGAATCTGTATGGAGATCGGATAGGGTAGTGTGTTTCTTATAAAACCGTTCCAGCTAGCTCGTGTCGCCTTCGCACAAACTGCTGTGCATCTACAATCGGTCTCATTTAATGCTAAGCACGACCTCTGCTAACACTAATGCAGAGAAATGAACTTGCTGGCCGTGGTGCGCACCGAGTATTCCAATAAACTACGTATAAATGCATGGCTGTTTTCGTGGCAGCAATAGAAAGTGTTTATACTCATCAGAAACATTAACCTACTATGTACAAGAATAGCGAATAAATTCACTGTAATTACACAATCTAAATATTTATTCATATATTCTGATGGTATCCGCTCTTTCCTTATAGTGTTATAATGAAGTGTGCTATTATTAGTGTATATATATTGAAGTTATTCCTACAATAACCATCATTAGTTGTCGAGCCCTGATAATAGTATTGAACATATTTCAAAATGTGATAAACAACATTTATAATTACATTCGTTAATTCCAAAACTTGTGTTTTTGAGGAAACGCGCATTAGCAATGAAGCCTTGGGCGTTCTATTAATCACAATTAGGCCTGTGTGAGCGCACAAAGACACCCATAAAACATATCTGCAATAAACATGCTGCCATATAACGGTTTAATGAATGAGCAAGGGGACACTTGTCGAGGCCCGTAATTTGTTGAATCATTCTGTGCTTATATGTCGCCGGATGCAGAAAAATAAATATGCTAATGGACTTATTCCATTACTGATTCGACACACACGACCTAGCCTAACAGCTATCGAACTTCTATAAGACGTATCAGTTTATCCATTGCGCTAACAACATGTGTGCGCCTAAGTCGTTTCTCTGCCTATAGCAAGCAAAAGCTTCTTTACGTACTGTCGTCTTATGCTTCGCGGCACAATTTCAAGACTCCAATCAACCAGTAATCGCAACGTCACCGGCAAAAAACTCGAGTTAAAGAAACGTGCTTATGTATATGCATGCGTGTACGCATATGCCACGTAATTGCGAGCAAAACGGAAGCCATGTAAAGAGTACGCTAAAACGAAAGGAATACGTATAAGTACAGACGTGTACTACTGCTTCGTGCTAATGCGCGCCTCACTTTTGGCAAAAAACAATAATAACCTAAAGAGCTACGCATTTGACTGCATGCGCGGTGACCCCTAATAAGTTGGTTTGTTCGTTTCCATGGAGTTAGAATCGTTATTTTTGTTAAACCTAGCCGATTTTAACAGTATATCATGGACCAACCACCCGTCTAAAATTTAACGCTGCTGTTAGCTCTCAGCCCCTGAAATTTCGTGCACTTTTAGCGCCTCATACCACGTTATATACTCAGTTATACGATATAATACAGGCGTTTTCAACAATATTTTGACATTTCACTGTGCTTAATGAAAAGTTAAGAAGGCTTAGCAGTATCTAAATAGTAGTTGATTTGCAAGTACAGCTGAATTCGAATAATAGACCAGTAACCAAACATGGCGGCCGTGGCGTAAATGAGCGAATCAAGATACGCAGAAGGTTACTCTCCTTCAAGTAGTCATCTTCAATCAGCAATTGTAGTTTTGGAAATGTTTAGGTGGAAATAGTTGGGGGCACTGACAATTTACCAGACGATAACAGTAGAGCCATGTCCCATCAGACGGGACAATGTGCCACGGGACCACTCTTCGACGCAGAAATGTCGATTGGAGCTTGCATCAAAACCCCGAACTGCGAGTGGCCCTCTGGTGGCGACTGCAGGGGGCGTTTAGCGCTACTGGTGTGGTAGTATATACGGCACAGGGTCAGCCGCCGGGTAGAACCAATAACTTTACATAATGATTCCCGAAGTGACGACGTCACAACGCCTGTTTGCAGCGTGCACACGCGCCACTGAGTAGCTTGATTGGACCAATATTTAATCGTGGTATACTCGGTTCTGAGAAATTGATGCTCTTCCGATATGAATCCATCTCATTGTTGTTCTGTTTGCTCTTTAAATATTTAAGCGCACTAAAAACGGTGGCCCTCAATTCCTGTCGTGAAATAATTATCATCGTGTTAACGTCAAACGTGTGCGCAGTCACTGAATCAATCATTGAAAGCTGCAATGCGGCGTCGTACAAACGACCCCAACGGGCACATGATATAATCAACCAGTCAAACAAGCCAACAAATAAACAAACCGACAAACGCGCAACGAATGCGCGCGCGCAGGAATATCGTAGCGTGCGAAGTAGAAGGAGTTCATTAATTTTATCACGGCCTATCGATCGTTCGCATTATTTCTTCGTCATCGGAAGGAAAAAAGTATGGTTTGGTGCCAATATTTGCTGACGGTTGTTCGTGTGTAGCATAAGAAATCCCGCAGGATGAATAGCGAGCTAAGCAGGAATGAATGAAAAGTCAGGGAGAGGGGGACGAGGGAGAGTCAGAAGGCAACGTAAATACGCGATCGTGAGGGAAACGCACTGCCAAAAGAAACCGACGTGCAGCCACCCTGCGAACGGCAACCAACTATCCAGAATTTTCACGCGTACTTTGTAACCTTTGTGTCACCAACACAGCCAGTGAGATAAACTGATATCTACCAATATTCATTAGCATTGAGTTCGGCCGCGGTTATATCTGTCGCTACCCCGACCCCCTGAACGGAATTGGGTTCTCTGCGAATGATCTATAGAGTCATTTCAGATGCAAGGCTCCTATATCGGGTGAGCATGGGATTAGTAACGCGCACGTGATTTGTGTGCAGATTTAGACGATAGATAGATAGATACCACTATAACCAGACACCTACGAATTATCTATGCAGACCCTCGACTACTGCTCAAATTAATAGCGAGAGAAATTCTGTTAATAATACAACTTTTCTCCAAGATGTTCTTCTTAAAGCATGCATTGAGGGGTTTTATTGAAGGCTTATGCATTAGCATTATGTTAACGGATTGCCTTGTGGGGGTTACGGCTATTATCTCTTTGTCTTGGAGCTCTGTCACGCATTCGTTTACTGACTTTCTAACGAAAATGCGGGCGCACACATAAAAAGGCATTTCCGTCTAAAGATTGCGAACAAGCAGCAATCGTCGTGATTTCAGAGCAGATCAAAAAGCCCAGATTAATTTCGCAACAATCAGGCTGTTTGTAGTCGATTGTGTTCAGCCGCAATGAGAATTGCAGACAAAACTCGGTTTGAAACGTCAGAGAAAAACAAGTTCTGCGCAATACATCAACTAAGATGCTGCGATTTGCTTCCATTAAGACTGATAGCCAGGGTGATGCGTTTTTGCAAACCATCAGTACACATTCCAAACTATAGCTAGTAGTTGATTCCCGGGAAGAATGTATCGTTAAAGATTGTGAAAACACAATATATAATCTCATCCGCCGTTTTGCCTCAGCGTCCGCTTGACTGTCATATTATAACTTTTGTAAAATACATAAAGAAACTAACTCGGTGAGACTGCAACATGGGGACAATAAGAGACCTGCACCCCCAGATTATTGTCTGTGCTTACTTACTCTTTTTTCTCTCTCTTTTTACACTCTAGGATGAGCATGACCATGATACCTGTCTTGTTGATTTAATATTAGAGATGAAAGTGCAACAAGAGTCGGTTACTCTGTTTCGGTGTGCCCTCGAGTGATTGAGCAATCGTGTTCTCGAGGCGCATACTCGTGTACATTAGGAACAGCGAAAGATGCCTGGTTGATGTTCAACAAGGCTTTGCATATGGTCTCTGTCGGATGGCGATAATTTGACATAAAGTGTTGGGTAGCCTCTTGTCAACAACTGTCTTTTGTCCTTCACTCGTGTTAAGTATGGAGAAGTTGTTTGTGGATTTTGTGGTCTGGCATGTCCCAGATCGACGGACCATGCAGGCTGCATGTCTAGGACTCATAATGGGCTTGTTTAGGATTCTTGTGAGATTTTCGCGAGACCGACATGTTCGCAGTAACCATGAAGTACCATGTGGCGGGTTGGCAGGATTCCTGAAGGTAGGATAAAAGCTGCCAAATGGGCTTGTGAAATGCGATGTAGCAGCTGCAGTTTATGGCAAACGAGTCTCTACCGTACTCTACATTACAGCTATAGGCTAGCCAAGAACCTAGCCCCATGAATGTATAGCGATGGTTTGTGAGAACGAGATAAATAAACTGATCACCCGTTTTCGTTTCAGCGGCCGCTTGAGTAGCTGACTGATGGTACGTATTGTAAAAATAAAGAGAGCTAATAAATCCAGAGAGCACACAATATGCGGACACGGACGTGAAAAGACATGTACTTGACACTAGTATTGTCAGTATTTACGGACAATCGCGGTATTAACAACTACAGATGGCATGTGTACGTAATTATTTGAATGACCAGAACATGATTACAAATCGTTTATGGATAGATCTTGTAAAACCCCTAAATATACTGTCCAATTGCTTTCGTCTCGATGCTAGTTTTTACTACAAAAGACGGGGATCTGTAAGTATAGCCAGGGTCAAGGTTACCCAATCGATAATAACTAATGAATCTCGAGCTGTGGCCAGGAGGCGATCACCAGATCGCCAATTGCGTTTGAACATTGATGTTTTTGACGCCGTTGGGCCACACCATGTCTCAGACGTTCTAACATTATCTGCTTGACTGGACTTAATTGTAACGGGAGGAAGCGATATTCGAAATCATTGCGATATCGAATTCGAAGAATAGCACGATGAGACTGGCAACGCACGTTACGCGTCGGTAGTCCACAGTAGGCCTACGCACGCACGAACACGGTAGCAGCAGGTGCATACCAGATGTGCGCCGCCTCATGCCACGATTTCGATTTCAACAGTTTTCAAGCTCCGTGCGAATATTAATTGGCAGAGTGTCATGGCGCGCCGCGTGTGCAACACTGCAGTTTCGACACGTAGCACCGCCTGCGTGATGTACTATCGAAGACAGCTCTGGGTGCATCTCTCATGCATGCAGTCGAATGCCAACCTATCCGTCGACACTGATCGGCGTAAAAATGTCATATACGACGTGTCGTATACATATATACATACAGTGTGCGATAAAATCACTAAATCAGGTTGCGGCGCATGGCTCGAACGACCATATATATATTTATATTTATATATATATATATATATATCAAGAGCTAATAAACACCGGTATTTATTAGCTCTTGATATATATATATATATATATATAGCGTATATATGGCGCCTCCTCCGCTTTGCTCCTCGCGTGAAGCCCTCATGGATCGATACTGCTGCGCTCGTTCATTCATTCACTCATTGCAAACCACGCGCCGACATTTCGCAAACCTTTATTCGGTCTTCGTTTAATTTCTCCCCCCCCCCACCTCTCGCACATTTTGACTTTGTTATACGGACGATTTCATCGACGAGAAGGGGAAGCGTTAATCGTGCGACGGGCATTTATACCACCAAACCGAGTAAATGGATGACATTTAAATTAAGATATAGGTGGCTGCCGAACGATAATGTGAAGACGAAAATAGAACTCGTCTCCGAGCGATCAAATCACTCGATACTGTTGCTGCAAGGCTATCCGGCTCCTGGTTGAGGTATAGTCTATTGGCTGTAGGTTGTTTGTCTATAGGTTGGCTTTGGGATGAGGTATATAGTCTATCGTTTCAAGCCAGGTTTTCTGCTTTCGCGTGGAAGGGTAGTTGACGGCGTTTACGGAATCTCACGTGCTTATATGTCCGTAAGTGTGTGCGTGCGCGCGTGCGTGCGTGTGCGTGCGTGCGCACCGTACAGTCACGTACGTACCGTCTGCTGCTCGACGCCGTTTGCTATGGAGCACGTGGCGGCGCTCTGCACGACCACCTGTTGCTCCTTGAGCGAGTCGGCCGTCGACACCTGCGGGTAAGGTTGCGGCGCTGGCTGGGCGTACACGGCAGCACCGGGCCCCGTCGGCTCCTCCCCGTTCTGAGCATACTGTTGATAGAGCGCTGGATTCATCTGAGCAGGTACCATGTGCTGTAAGTGGAGAAAAAAAACGCGCTCGTGTGTAACGAAAATGCATGTATACGTGCGGTCGGAGCGCGCGCGTGTTTTTCGGCTCCTTGCATCTGTACCAACATGATAACGGATGACTCGGAAACTGCTCTTGCAAATCGGCAATGAGTTTGCAATCGCCTGTTCTTTCATAAGGTGCTATATGTGGTATAGGGCATACGTTTCGGTCGTGAATATCACTACTCGACATATAGAGGGGTGCGGCGCATCGATTCGATACGTCACGTGGCTGGTGATGGTCCTTTAGAAATTGACGGCATCTGTTTGCTGAATAATTATATTATACGGACCAAAGAATTATCCGACGCTACACGCGATTCTTTGATATGCCAGAAGATTCTGTTAGTCTAGTTAATATAATATAATATAATAGATATATCCGTTTACGATCGCCGTGTGTAGACTAGCTACTTAAAGCGTCGAGCAGAGCGTGTTGGAATAGTCGTACTGAATTATGCGGTATGCGTGGCAAGACGGCATGCGATAAACCCTGGCTGTCAACCATTCCTTATAGGCTAGAATGCTGACATATGACAGAGAAAAACCAGTCGAAGCTATTCTCATTTGACACATGTCTGGATGAATTCACCGTCTGTAACCAAGGCCTGTGTGTACAGTGTACGCACGAAGGCCTGCGTTGCGCCATCATTAGAAAGACGCTGGTAATGGAAGAATGGGTCGAGAGTGTCAGAAATGCAGTCAATTGGCCCCCAGACAAAACGAAACGTCGAAAGCTCCCCCACGAAACAACACGGAGCAGAGCGGTTGAAGCACAAATGAGGAACCCTGTCGATACTTGCGTGCGACAGACAGGAACGGATGAGTTTCCTCTATAGCCGAGGCTCTAACATGGCGTGAAAGACAGAGCGGATAAACGCAGAGAACATTCATGTGATTAAAAATATCGCGCGTACGGTTTATTACACAGTAGCGTGGTGTTGCCGAGGGCGAAGGAAGGTGGAGCGTTAGTACTCATGCATATTTTATTCTGAATGTACATAATTATATCACTCGAATAGAGAGTCTCAATTTTAGCTGCACGAGTAAATTCGGTTTAAATTTCGCATCTGAAAACTGCGCGTGAAGGGGTTAAAGAAGCCATTAGCGTACATCGATTACACAGCATCGCTTGTTAGCTCACGAACGATGAAAAAAAGGCTAAATGGGCAACCATCTTTTAAATTCTGCCTAACGCTCGCCTGCGGAAACAGAACACAACTGATACTACTTGTCTTATTGCGTTCGACTAAACTCGGGTATCTCACAACGCGCGAGGTCACAGCGGGAGGAGCGGGATATAAAATAGCAGTGCGTCTGGGGCTTAGTGTCCGCGTAACTCCACCACGTCGCTCGCCTTGGGGTAAGGAGATTCGATTACATGGTGAAATTTATTCCGGCGGCACGAGATTGTACTGCATTTTTTCCGTTTTCAAGGAGGCGAATTGCTATATCTGTACGTCTGTGTGCGATAAAGGCAGCGTAATTCGGCGGTGTAACAACACCCGACTGGCCTGCACGGGACACGTAGTGTTTCTCTCGAACAAAATTTTGTTTTACGATCACCTTAAGTGCGACCAGTAGATAGAATGTTCTCATAATTCTACGTGGCGTGATACAAATCCATGTTGCCCGCTGATCAGTGCGACTATGCGTGCTGGAAACACGCTTTCCGCCGTCGATAGCCAATATGATATAGGAAATTCTGCGTTTGGAGTAATAGCAAGTATAATAGCTATATCTGGTACAACGAAAAAATAAACAAAAAACGGAATTTGATGAAAAAAATTCCTGTTGGTAGGTGTCACTGGCCTTTCGCGACTGATTTTGAGAAAAAAATTATGTTACGTGATATATTATACAAATATTTCATGGTGCAGACGCAGTTATATCACATTTGCTATTTGTATCGAGAAACCATGTTTAGGAGAAGTGTCATCAATATTGATTTGTTTTGTTTATTTCGCAACATTGGCTACGTTTCATGACATGTGACATTCTTTTGCACCAGTAATTACACTACAATATTCATCGCAGCCATATATATATATATATACATCAGGAGCTAATTATGACAAATACCTCCGTGATATCAAGAGCTAATAAATAGCGTAATAGAAATTTAATATAATATAATATATATCAAGAGCTAATAATACCTTATTAATAAACCTTATTAATAAACCTTAATAATAGAGGTAATATTAGCTCTTGTATAAATTCATATAATAAGGTATTTATTAGCGCTTGCTGATATATATATATATATATATATATATATATATAGCGAGTGAAACGAGAGAGTGAGATAGCTATATATAACAGAGATATACAGCATAGGAGATGCCACGGATAAGGAAACTGTGGCGAACGAAAAAGACCTATAGGTTAAGGACGTGTAGTTTAATATCCGAGGTTGGAAATTTTGTTCGTAAATATAAGGTTTGCGCCAAAATGGGAAATTTATCGTATTGGAACAAAACGTGATCTTCTGCCTAGCGTCGTAAGCTTTCCGATTGCTATTCAAAGTCCCCATAAGACTTCATATCGTCTTGTTAAAAGTCTTGCTCTTGTAGATTGACTATATATCGATGACTATATATAGCAAACACGGAGAGGCAGGCAGACGTGCAGCATCCTCCCATTGCTAAACACTACCCACCCACGTGGCGAACATCGGGGGTGCAAGTGCGCTGGACACCACATCTGCGTCTGGGATGGGTAGTAGTCGCCAACAGATAGCCAGCTGGTTGGTAGCGTGCTTTCATCGCGGCCAGCATGCGCAAAGGCGCGAAGGACCACGACATTAGGACAACAAGGCGACAGCTATGGCAGCGTGCCTGCGACTATTGTGGGTAATCGTGGGGGGTGCGGGAGGTACGAAGTAGTTTTATTGATGCTAATTAGACACAGGGCAGCAATGTGCGTGTATTATTCGGAAACGATTACATCCCAAGACGACAGGCAGTTACGTGCCATGTGGGAAACAGTTCGCTAGCGTAGTATGTGCGCCATGCCTACGCGAATGAATGCTACTACTGTATTAGAATATGACTGAGCTAGGCAAAGGAGTGTCTATTGGCTGGCAGAGAGACTTCTAGGTATGCCGACGTGAGACTCCGCGCAACCATACACGCGTACTATACGTGATAATCTGGGATCCGCGTGGGTTATCCTGATTACAGCTCTAGAACTACCAGCCTGGCCTGTGGCGGAGCGAAGGGCTATAGTTCTATAGAGCTAGCGTGATTACAATTATACCACATCGTGTCGGCTAACGAGTTATACAGTAACTGAACACTTCCCATAGCTATAGTTTGTAATGGTTTGATGACATGGCAGGGTGATTTGGCCGACAATATAGCCGCCCGCGTGCATACTTCAACATTACCAGCGGGAGCTGTACATGCAAGCTAGGACTGAATAAAAATAAATTTGTTTTTATTCACTCCTGGTGTGTAATATGTTTATTTATATTCGCTCCTGGTGTAATGCGTATGTATTTCGCTCCAGAAAACGTTCTGCATTATCTGGCACCCGGGATGATTTAGCTTATCGCTTGGCTAATAGGGCAAGCCCCTTGTTGCAACACAGAGAGAGGGACATATCCCTAATGTATATGTAGCATGATGCCTGCTGATATGCTTTTTACGTGGTGTATCCGCACCTAATGATGTTATATATCTAAAGCGAAATCCCCCGTCCAAACCGAAAACCACATTATCTCATTAATTTCTATATATCGTTTTCCTTTTCTCTACCCCTCCCCCTCTCTCTCTTCCTATAATATCTATATGCCCTCTCTTTTGCTCTTGCTCCCCAGTTTATATGTGATCGAGTCATGCATGCACATATGGGTATGACTATTTATGAAAATTATCATTGCAAATGGAAAGATGCCGGGGCAAATTACTGGTTGGGTCGCAATTCAATGACTCTCTGATCACAGCGAAATGCGGCCTGGCTGACTTCTTGCGGGTCAATCAGAGAATGAAGACACGGCTTATTGCAATCGGATATCAGAAATCCCTATATGGATATTTTATTCATGGCGACACGGAAGGGGGGCGAATCACCCGCCATGCAGGACATCCGGAATGCGTTTATAGACATCCATCATCGCTTAGATTCACTCCACTCACTTAGAATTATTTTCCGACCAACGTACAGATCACAACGTGGAGTGAATCGAACCGATATAAACTCGCCCCCCCCCCCGCCAATGCAAAAGCACTCTATACTAAACTTGGCGCGACACGGATTACGTAATTAGTCTACGTAGAGTATTATAGTACGTAGCTAGCACGAGATCTGTCGTTAGGCAGTATAAGCAAAATGTCGTCTCGTGACGTCAGAGACGCGTCACAGAGACGCTGCTGTGTAGTCTATATACACAGCCGCTTGTACTGTAAGTGCACATCCCATCAGTACGACTGGCATCTACGAAAACAGAAGCGTGCTTACCCATCCGGCCTGTCCTGGATATATCCACTGGGGCTGCGACCAGGCATCTAGCCCCTTCTCGCCCTGCACCATTGCCATCGTATTAGGATCGCACTGGCCCGCCACGTCTGCGAGTCTCCCAGCTCTGCGTGCAACGCGATCGGTCGTAGACGAGCAGCGCTGTCGGCTTATGTGTCTACTAATTTCAGGACGGTGCATTGACCGCCTTTTACGGCGCTACTCCTCGCTGTTATTCACTAGAGATATTCAACTTGGAGCAGCTTCAGATTTTGATAACGAGTCGTCTCAATGCCGAAGCCGCGTTCACTTCGTGATACCTTTCGCTCTAAAGTCGACGGACTGTGAATGAAGGCGAAGAAAACTATCGGTGTACAATGGCTGCCCGATAGATGGGCGTTAGCCTATCTGACGCGTGCAATCACCGCGGTGAAAAACAGCGACAGATAGTTCAGCGCGCCAGTCTAAGGTTCTTCACGTGGATATCAACGCACGAGTTGATCGTCTAATGTTATTCTTCACACGGCTTCTTATACACAAGTCGAGTCGACCACTGCGCTCGTTAAACGTTTATCGTAAACCACGACGTGGTATTTTCAGAGGGAAACGACCCGAGTATTCTCGCGGCTATGGCAGTTTTTCCCCCGCCGCTCTCTCTCTCCCCCCCTCTCTCTCTCTCTCTCTCTCTCTCTCTCTCTCTCTCTCTCTCTCTCTCTCTCTCTCTCTCTCTCTCTCTCTCTTACTTCCAACAATCAGTTAGTCGATGGAGATGCTCTTCGATTTTTCCTCACGCAGCGGCAGGCATCGCATCCAATTTTACGCACGTTTCCGCTTCACTCAGACGGGATTTGAATGTTAAGAAGACTGATATAATTAAGCAACCGTAGCGCTGAGAAGTAGTAGACTCGATATCGCCTTACCATCCACAGCCGTGCCACTCTCCGTCTCCCTTGTCACTTCGTCGTAGAACCACCGTAACGTCGGGTGTAACGGCTAACAGTGCCAATAGTAAACGCCACACGAGAAGCAAAGCACAACAGCTGTCACCGTCTCTCACCAACTCGGCTGTGCTTGATTTGTCGAGATCGAAGTAAAGAGAGCGAGTGCGTGTACAGGCAAGAGATAGACAGCGATAGAGCGAGAGAGCGCAATAGAGAACGAAACAGACAGACGTATATAACTGATGAAGGCACACACGGTCGCGTACCTCCGCAACCTCACGTACGACTGCGCGTGCCGAAAATCTGCCGGTAGGCGGCTAGCAGGCTAATTGCACAGATCACACTAGTGTCTTATAGCCGCAGTCTGGCGACCATATGTGCGACGAAACCCAATCATACATACGTCGTTTCTTACAACCTGCTCGGAGGTTGAGGCGCGCTGCAGACTGCCCCCGCCCGCTGGGCGGACCGTAGCTCTAGAACTATAGCCCTTCGCTCTGCTGCAGGCTTGTGGCAGAGCGAAGGGCTATAGCTCTAGAGCTAGGCGGACCGTGGCCCGGGGCCCGTCTCAGCTCCGCACACATGCGTCGGCGAGCTAGTCGAGCAGCCGGCACGGCAAACCTCTATGAGGTCCGGATGTTTCTGGCACGCCGAGGATGTTCATCTTAGTGCATAAATAAATCAGTCTACGTCGTCGGTCAACATATTAAATAACTCGGCTACCCCCGAACGCTGACACGAAAGGTCGCCATTGCGTCTAAAATGGCGCATCTCGCATGCGGTCGTATGTATGCAGCAAAAAAATTGGCGCGCGCGCACACGTGGGCCTAGCACAGGAAAAAATTGCAGACACGTGGGGTTAGCCTTCTCAAGCAGAGGCCACGGTTGCCATTGCCCGCGTGCGTTCGCGAGTACATAGCGATATTTAGGTGTCCATGTGTGTGTGTGTGTGTGTGTGTGTGTGTGTGTGTGTGTGTGTGTGTGCGTGCGTGCGTGCGTGCGTGCGTGCGTGCGTGCGTGCAAGCGATGTGTGCGTTCATGTGCGTGTGCACGTCGTTAGCTTGCGATACAGGTACCGATCATTGTAAAAGGTAATTACCGAAGTAACCGAACACACGTCAAGTTCATATGGAGGTCACAACAACGTGCTTTTCGGGTGATCATACCTCCGAGACACCGTTGCCACTGAAACGGCGCAGCCAGCAGGTGGCCGGCCATATTGATATTCGCTAATAGCCGCAAATAGCTTGCGATCGCGTAATTTATAAGCACGACGCGGACAGTATTGCGGGCGAGCGTGGCTTCAGCTACGAACAACCGAGAGCGCAGTCAGTCATTTATCACGGGGGTTGGGAATACAGGCCCTAACTAATACCACGCGTTATCGCGACGCACTCTCCCCAGCGTGTGGCTGCTTCCTGGCGTAAGTGTATCGCTCTCATCCAGACGGCATGCGATATTTATGAACACCCGCTCATTATATTGGAGAAAAGCACTCCGGCATCCGCGCGCAAAGCTGGCCAAATTAACTGAAACCTGTTTTTCATTTGATAATGTTCCGACCGTTATAGCGTTAGCGGGCGCATTAGCCAATAAAAGTATTATTCCCCAGGTAGCCGTGGCACCACGGTGGCGCAGGATAGGATGATGGCAGCTCACTCAAGACTGTGGCAGAGATGCAAAACAAGGAACGTTGGAAGTCTGCAGTCTGTATACATGTATTGCAGCGCATTTCTCAATAAACTGGCAGGTCGCCGCACGAGCACTCGGGCCGGGTTTGAGGTTGTTATTTATATCTTAATTTTTATATACTCTCTATATCGCCTATTAATTCCACGTAAAAGCCGCTGAAATTCTTCTCTGCAACACGCAAACTCGCCGCACGCACGGACGTTGGAGACAAACTCACAGAAAGTTAGAGTTCTTGTATTTTCTATATTCCATCTTCCATCTTCGCGAGTGCTCGATCGCGTGCGTGCATTTGCGTCATGGAATTATAGGAGGCGATAAAGCGTACATAAACATTAAGACTTTGGTCTGAGTTTATTTTCCATCACTTAATTATTTGAAACGGCTCAAGTGCTTGTGGGTTGTCGGACGATTACCGAAAGCTCGCTTGTTAATCAGGCAATAATTAATCAATTAAATAATCAAGTCAATCAATAAAGTGGTTAATCAAGCAATAAGGTTACGTAATAATAAGTTTATTAATATACGTTTATAATAAGTTTAATGGAATGCCACCTCTATAGGCAGCAACCAAACGAGCGAAACCGCACTATTACATAGGTACATGCATGAGCGCCGGAGAACAAATTGCTTTTCGTAAACTTGCGAATTGAACGTTTCTATAAGTCGGGAGTTCGCTCTTTCTCCCCCCCCCCCGATAGCTAATCATCAGATGAGGATGAGGAGGGGAAGGGAAGGGGTGGGGAAAGAGGCGGTGGAGAAGAAAGAGGCGGGGTAAAGGAATCAATGCCCACTCACCGGAGTTGTTGTTGTCATCGGACTCCTCATTAGTTGTTTGTAGTAGCTGTAGGGCACGACCACCGCACCAGCGGGTGCCGCTGTGCCACATCCACTCATGTACATGCTAGTATATAGCGCTAGGGCGAGCCACACACACACACACACACACACACACACACACACCCGTAAATGAGCGTACACGCTAGCGCACCTCAACCCGGCGATCGACGGATACGAAGACCGTCACGACAAAGACTCGACCAACCTGCCGATGATAGGTGCTCGCAGAGCTGGCTCGTGCGACTGAGATGTGCCCTATGCCAACGACGCGCAGCACAGACACGTCGGCGGATCATTAAATGCGCTGCGCAGTCGTTCGTTCGTTCGACAGTCGCGGCTAGGTGAATACTTGCGCGCGAATTACTACTAACGCGCGAATTATTACTAACGCGCGAATTATTACGGAACACACAATGGACGCCGCACGTGCTACCATCGGCAAACGTCGGCGACAGCTGCTCGGCAGTGTCGGTATCACACTCTCGCTAGCTTGTACTAATATACATATATATATATCGCTATATATATATATATATATATATATATCGCAGAGCACATGCGACTGTCCGTATATCCTATAGGCTTATGTCGTTAGCTGCAAGAGTGCGCGGTCGCTACACGTCGTGTGATCGCCTCCTAGGCCAAGGCGGCTGTGTTTAGTTCGCTCCCTCACTCTCTACTTTTACTAATCGCTTACCCTTTTTAGCACGTGCGCGTGCTGGGTACACGGTACAGCAAAAGCGCGCCAGACAAAACTACGCGGGTCAACAAAATTATAAATCAGCGATTATGTTTAAAATCCGTGAGTCACTCGATCAAAGGGAAATCTCCGATCGGTTGTATAATGCTAATAAGGACGAAATAAACGTATACACGCATGATTGTTATCATTGCGCATATACATCAAATTAGAGCAAAATTTTCAGCTCGTCGCTAATTTTTACGCTATACCTGTATCTCGGCGAGAATTTAGATTTTTATCCCTCACTCCGCGTCGTTGCCCAGTAGGCCTACTACGGTGGCGCAGAAGGCTCACCACAAATATCAAAGATCCAGGAGATATAGCAGCGCGCCCGTGTCTCCACGCTCACCGGCCGTACTAGTGCAAGATAACACACGGACGGGGCATTCCAGCGATATGAACGGCTATCCGTAATAATTTATTATCAGCACGCGCGCGCGCACGTTCGCCTGCACGACTATGGTGGCCGAGATGGCTACGGATATTTTATTATTTTATTGTATTCATTTTCATTCCAAATTCATTTCATTTCAAATTCATTTTCATTCGCAAATTCAATTGTCATTTCAAATTCATTTCATTCTAAATCATTTTCATTCAAATCATTTTCATTCCAATTCATTTTCATTTCCAAATTCATTTCATTCCAATTCATTTTATTTCAAATTTATTTTCATTCAAATTAATTTCATTTCATATCTTTTTCATCGCCAACGTCATTTTATTCAAATTTATTTTTCATTTTAAAATTTCCATTTTCATTTCCCATATTCATTTCCATCCCAAATTCATTTCATTCAAATTATTTGTCATTTCAATTTTTTCTCGATTCTAAAATTCTTGCGAAGGCCGCAATGCGGTGGCGAGATGGCTAGCGGATATTGTGGGCGGAGTGATGTCCACTTCTCCCTAGTGGCGAACAACTTAGGCAACCTTCAAACAGAGACAAACGCCATTTGTAAATGTTTTGCTCTGGTTTATGATCGTAGATAAGTAGTTTTCCGATGTATTTCCATGAAAACACACATTTTACTTGATAATATCATATAATTGCATTCTTTGGTAAATGTGTTATTTTTTAATCCTAAGATGTATGAAAGGGTCTAGCTCTCTGTAATTACTACATACTCCACCAGGGTAATGCTATCCCCCGGGGTGGGGAGGTGACCGCAACGTGGCAAGCACTAGTGGTTAGGATAGTGTTCAGTAGGTTTAGGGTTAGGGTTTTTGCTCGATGATATCTGTCGCAACCATAGCATATTTTTGTGGAAACAATGCCTATATATAGCGCTCCGAGATATTATATTTAGTGTTCGGTTAGCGTTGGAGGTGTTGCATTTATCGTTATCGGCATGACTTAATCTTTAGAATAAAAATAGTCAAACTGTATCACGTGGACCCTCCCTCCACGCCCGGGGGATAGCAACACCCCTCAAACCACAACTCATTAGGGGAATGCTATCCCCCGGGCGTGAGGGACAGTACGCAATGTGGGCAGCGACTAGTTTTAGGATTAGGGTTAGCGATCAGGTTAGGTTAGGACTAGTGGTTAGGGTTAGGGATATAGGCCATGTCTGTAAGCGAAGTAACTGTGGAATCTTTACTGGGAAGATTTGACTTTGAAGTATACCGTCAACTTTATCACGTGACTGTGCCTCCACGCCGGGGATAGCAACACCACAATCATTTACAGGTCGGGGGCATTGGAGTAACTAAAAACATGGATCGGAAAACCACCAACCACATCAGCGGATAGTGCAAGAAGTCTAGGTAATTAGGTTTCCTATAATAACTTGAAATCCCATACGGCCTCTTTTCGTTGGAAAGAGACAAAACGTCTGCACACATCCGCCAAAGGTATAATTATTTCACCTAATCCACGCGATTGGTTTATTTGTGAGCGTAATAGCTGTACGATGGCTCATTGTGGTCACACGAAAATTATTTCGCGAGCAACGCGCGTGCTCCATCACTAAATTGCAAGAACAAATTTTCCGGTGTCAGCCGAGGCGATGCCGCAGCTTAATAAATCACAGCCCACCTGGGACCCGCTGTTGGCGCACCCGGCAGTTAGATGCGATATGATATGACTACTAGGCACTTAGATATGACTACTAGGCACATTAAAAAAAAAAAAAAAAACCCTAACCACACTAACCTAACCTAAATCCCTAAACCTATAACCCTAACCCTACCCTAAA